GAACTTTTTTTTATTTGAATTCTACAGATCTGTAGAATTCAAATAAAAAAAATTCATCGATTTTGGTCAAGTGGTTGCTGATATATCTTTGATTAAAGTTTTAGAAAATTTTAAAACATCTATATCACTTAACACTATAGCAGGATCCTGAAGAATATATATAATACTAAGATCTGATTTTGTATAGACTTCTTATATAATTTTCAATATATCGTATATTTAAATTTGTATAACCAACTGGTAATTTTTTTAAAAGTCAGATGCTTATTTGTATAACAAAGATGATCTTTATAACAAGTTAGATCTTATTTTGTATAATGATACTATATATATATATATTTTTTTTTTACTTTTTGAAAACAGTTAAAATAAATACACAATTATATATGATTCGAAGTGCTAATTTTTATATTAAAAAAAAAGTAAGTAGGTTTAAATTCATAAATTTATCGAAAATTGCAAATAGCTAATAGGGGATTTGTTTATAAAGATTTATTGTAATTTTCTTTTTTTTTGTAATAGTCTTATCACTATCTTTACAAGACCTGAAATAGACAAATTAAATAAAGTAACAGATAAGATTTAAATTTGCATATTTTTTTAAATTTCAAAATTTTAAATATAAAAGTTCAATTTGTATATTTTTATTATATATACTATATGTTTTGTAGTATATATAATAATGATAATATGCTGATTATAGAATTTTGCCTTTATATATATCGATATAAGAAAATTCATATTGGTGTGGTTATTAAGAAAATTTATCAATCTATATTTAAAATATGTAAGCTATTCGGGTTCATGACTATTTATTATTTAATTTTATTTTGTTTTAAGCATTTAAAAATTACTCAAGTTTGTGAATATGTTCACTTTAATTTAATGCATAACTATGAATAAAATTATTAATCTAGTATTTAAGATAAGCTGTTCAGGTTCATGACTATTTACTATTAAATTTTATTTTGTTTGCACTAGTAAGTATGATAAAATTTTATTAATCTGAGTGTTCAATATGTTACTTAAATTTATTTAACATTTACTATTTAATTTCATTTTATTTGCTTTAATTTAGTGTATGTGCTGTGAAGAAAACTTTTCTATATGTTCAAAATAAGCTATTCGGGTTCATAACTATTTACTATTTAATTTTATTTTATTCGTGTTAATTTAGATGAGTATTATGAAAAGTTTAATCTAAATATTTAGGATAAGCTACTCAAGTTCATGAATATTCACTATCTTAACTTCATTTTGTTCACCTTAATTTAATGCGTAGATATAAATAAAATATATCAATCTATGTATTTAAGATAAGCTATTCGGGTTCATAACTATTTACTATTTAATTTTGTTTTGTCCGTGTTAATTTAAGTGAATATGATAAAAATTTTTAGTCTATTTAAAATAAGTTATTCAAGTTCATGAATATTTTATTATTTAATTTTATTTTGTTTAATGTAAGTATTTAGAATAAGCTACTCAAGATCATGAATATTTACTATTTATTTAGTATATAATTATAAATTTATATTGTTCATGTTAATTCAGGTGAGTATGATGAAAATTTTAATCTAAATATTTAGAACAAGCTATTCAAATTCATGATTGTTCACTTTAGTTTAGTACATGATTATAGAAAATTTATCTATCTATGTGTTTAAGATAAGTTATTGGGGCTCTTGACTTATTATTGAATACATTAATTCAGGTGAGTATGATAAAAACTTTTAATCTAAGTGTTTAGAATAAGTTACTCAAGTTCATGAATATTTACTACTTTAATTTCATTTTGTTTATTTTAATTTAGTATATAGCTATAAAGAAAATAAATCAACCTATATCTTTAAGATAAGCTATTTGGGTTTATAACTATTACTATTTAATTTTTATTCGCGTTAATTCAGATAAATATTATGAAAATTTTTAGTCTAAGTGTTTAAAATAAGTTGATGAAATCATGCAATGATCGATTATAAATCAAACTATGACGTACATATGTCATGTACTCAAGGGGTATATATATTGATTGTATGAAGTTTTTTTTTAATTTTTGGTTTTGCTATTGCTTGCCTTACGATATTAGGCTAGCTTTCTCGTTCCAAGTTATTTTTCATAGAAGTCATAGCTCCAAGACTGTGGTAATATAGCTCGAGGACTATTTGATAGTAAAAGGCTCTATGACTGCTTAGCGTGCAAGGACCTTATGATCTAATTATTAAGTCTTTACACAGTATAGGCAGTGTGACTGTAATCATAAATGCTAAACAAGAATTAGAGACGCTTCAAATATTAAGTGCAGCGTAAATGTAAGTACAGTAAAACTTGGTTCTATTAAATTAGCCTCCAATTACTAACGATACTCCTCAAACCGCTATTGTGAGCAATATTCTAAGTAAAAAAATAGTGGATAAAGAACATGACAATATAAATTGTATTCAAATTGCAAGCAAAGAAGATAAATGCGGCAAGATCATATTTGAATTTAGGCAAAAAAGAATTTAATAGGGCAGTAAGAAAATGACTTCACAAGAATAATAAATATCATACCAAGAAGATTTGAAGCGAACCATATTTCTATATATTTACCAAATGAAAGTGATCGAGTAATAATAAAATTTTTAATTTAACCGTTTAAAATAAGCTACTTAAATTATGAGCTTGCATTAGAAATTACCATAAAAAATTCTATTGCTATTTCAGTGACACACAGTATGCAGTTAAAGTCTGTCATGAATTATTATTAGAACTTGCTTACTAATGAAATGGTTTGCATTAGAATTTTTGTGATTTCTATTATAAATTACTACTATTCCAGTATGATTAAATTTATGCCAAGTTTAATCTTTAATTAGGATATTACGGCATTGTGACATATAATATTTATGGCAATTAGATGCTATACCATAATTAATTCTACTATATCAGATATAGTATACCATAATGCTGTAATGCCGTAATTCAGTAATTTTACCGCCAACCATATGCATACCAATACAGCAATTAGTAAAAAACTTAAAAGTTATCTTGTCTATATATACATATATTTTGGAAATTCTATAATTAGTATATGATTCATAGCTTTTTTAGTTTAGTTCATTTCTCTTTTGTACATAAATAAAAAAAAAAAATTAGATCAGAAAAAATTAGATCAGAAAAAAAAAGATCAGAAAAAAAATTATTGTATATTTGATATTTTTTCTTTTAGAAAATACTACTACCTTGGAAATATAGTAAAGAGAGACTTGCAAAACATCCATATTGTGCCTATATAGTTCGAATAAAAAAGGTTATTTGTCATTGTGGTAAAGTTATCAAACCTGGTCATCGCTATGATGAAACTTTCTTAAATATTCATGTTAATAGTAAAGGATGTTTAGCTAAGCAAGAAGTTCAATTAATTCTAAATTATTTTAAACTGATCTCTAAATCAAAAAAAATTAAAAGTGATAATTGTGTTAGCAGTGCTGAAGAGTGGGAAAGTGATGATGATGAAAATATGGGTAATAATGATTTGTTTAAAATTGATGAAATAAGTAATGTAAAAAATGATTGTGAGAGTGAAGTTTTAAGTGCCGATAATATGATAATTCCATTAAACAATAAATGGAAGCCTTGCTCTGGTCTTAGATCTAGTATTATCCATGAATATATTAGTCGTACTCCTGCTCAGTTTGGTGAAACTAGAAGAATTGAAGTTATTGCAAAAGAGATTTTTCCAAATCTTTTTTTAAAAGAATTTTCACGTAAGAAGTTGGATTGTTCACAGAAATGTCAGTTGAATCGTTAATTGTATGCAGAAGCAGTATAGAAAATTGATCATGATTGTAAGTTAATATTGCCTTTAGTTGTATAGTGATATATATAAGAAGGTTTAATTAATTATTTTTTTAATTCAATCAAGGTAACTGTGTTCGTTCTATGGAGTGTGAGAGATTTACTAATTAAAATATCTGTAACAACTATCTTAGTTTAAAAGGCAATAAACTTTTACAAAATCGAATTGTTAAAGTAAAACCATCTACTTCAAAACTGAAACATATCCTGAAACATTATTTTGAAAATGATCCACTAAAAAATTATCTGAAATATTCTGACCTTACTGAAATTTGGTCAATAATCAAAGATAATGAATCCAATACAGCATCTAATGTTTAGATAAAATTAGCAGAAAAAACATTCAAGGGGCATTTAATAAAAAACTAGTTTTTGAAGATCTTTGTAATATCATGTTACAAGCTGTAATTCGGAAAGAAAAAAATATATCCACAAGAAATTTGAAATATACCAATGAGTTTAAAAATTTTCTTGTAATTCTTGGTACCTATAGTTCACGTGTATTAGATTTATTCTGGCAAAATTTAGAAGGGTTAACAATTTAAAATATTAGGTATAGAAATTATTTATTATATATTTATTGTAGAAATTAAACCTGAGTAGAAATTGTTACTATATAGGATCTTTGCTAGGAAAATCATCTTTCGATATTTTCCGATCGGGCTAATTCAGACAAATTCAAACCAATATATTAGTACCTATTTGCATGTAAATTATTTTTGCCTCTATTGATTCAAACATTCATTCAATAAGCTATTAAATCAATAAGTGTAAAATATGGTTTACATGTAAAAAGAGCTGGTATGTTGGTTTAAAATAGTCCAAATTAGCCTGATCGGAAAATGTAGGAGAGCAATTTTCCTAGCAAAGATCCCATATGATTATCCAAAAATATAATAATTTACTTGAATAATCTAGACAATTTAATAATACTTGGGTAAAGATTTTCTTAACAGGTTTAATCTCTAGTTTATTGTATATTAAATTTATTATAACAATAATTTTTATTTTTAGATACTATCGCTCTAATTCCGAAGATATATTAACAGATCCAACTCTTTGTTTTGAAAATATAGCTCGGTTCAAACAATTTTTGGACTCTATTGAATATGATAACCCAATTGCAGCTATAACTGATAATATCAAACTGAAACTATGTCTTAGATATTCTTCACGAATAGGATGCATTATTGGTTTTACATTTTCAAATCATGAGACAAATATTAAAATATATGATGATATTTCGGTTACAATTAATAAAATTAAAGAGAATAATACTATTGCTAAATATGTAAGAGTATATATATTACAAGTAAGTTAAAACTATAATTGATATATTAGTATTAATACTGAATAATAACTAATATTATATATTAGGTTCCATTATCAAAATTTCTTTCTGTTATTATTGCTCTTCTTTCTAATCTTGGATCTGATAAAACAGAAACAATATTAGATATATATAAATTACTTTTAGATTTTGCACAAGAACTTAAGCTACATATCATTTCAATTGGTTCTGATGGTGTACAAGTTGAATTTAATGTGCAAACTTAATTTCAACAAATATCAACTCATAGTAGACTTAAAATCTATATAATATTGATTTTAGTTGTCTGATTTTTCCAAATATTAGACTAGTAATACTAGATTAATAATTTTATTCATAGTTATGCATTAAATTAAAGTGAACATATTCACAAACTTGAGTAATTTTTA